ATTCTGCCTCCAATAGCTCTCCTCCCCGACCCACTTACCCGAGATAGTCTCATTGATTCTTCCCCAATGTTCTTCTCATCATCATCGTCACGATTGCCCTAAATGATAGTCTGATAGTGGGACAGAGAAACTTCACTCCCCGAGGACGGATAATGTCACAATCCTCGATTGGACTTCTTCGGAAACTAACTGACACATGCGTACAAACGGAATATCAATTCAAAACAGTGCGTTATTATTCTTCCAGATTAAAAAAGACTCACTTTCCACTTCTAAACTGAGCAGATGAGATGGTGTCTCATTCGCAAAGTGTTCAATCGGCCGGTATCGTCTGCCGTGATTTGGTCTCGGAAGCGGATGAAACGAAGACGTAAATAGACATCAGTGTTGTTCACAGACAAGCGCTGATAAGCTGTCCGTTCTTGAAGCTGTGCATTTGACCATGAGTGGGGAGGAAAGAACTGGATAAGTAAACTTGAATCCTTTTATCTCGATACGATTCCGAATAGGAAGACTTTATTGATTTTTCACAGGAGTTGTACTGTTTCCAAGCCAGTCGCTATATCTATCATATTGTGATAGAAGGTGGCAACAAAGGGAGTCCTGGCTAGCAAACGAATCAAAAAATAGGGCTGATCTAACTAGGTGCGTAAGAGTAGCGGCTGGACGTACTTCGCGAGGTATTATCGNTGTAACAATTTTCTCTTCTCCTTATTTTCTCGCTGTGATTGATAGCCAAACATAGGCGTCAGTGGTCTGGTTGAGAACCAGCTAATCAATGATCCCATGAGATTATCCCTGGTACTTGTTCTCAGTTGGTTCTGTGATCGGGCAATCAAATTACACAATTGAGCGGAGCACGAACCTGTCGCATGTCTGGGTGGCTCATTGTTGGATCATCCGAATGGTTCGTCCTAGTATTCGTGTTCGCGAATGTTGTACATGTTTTCCTGAAGCAGATCTTATTTACACCCACCAGACGGTTGCAGTTCATGTTCGCGCCTCGTCTCTCCATTATCCGTTAACCTCTCCGTGATTTTCTCCAAACTGAAGTGGCAGCCCCCGATAAAGCGTACTGCAGCAGACAATTACTAGACGTGCTCAATGCGTGTCCTGACTAACGAAGCGTGCTCTTTGGAATTCACTGTGACAATAAATTTTCCACTGAATACATGACAGCTTATCTCGATGCAACCCACCTCTGCGTAAGGAACCCACGGCTGCGGACTTCCAGTCGGCGTGTCTTCCACGCGTACAATCAGTGTCCGACAATTTTAAAGCAGTGCTGAACACTCAGTGACACAGGATACATAATTTCTCAAATTCAACGCAACCAGGCGATGATTGTCATGTGATTGTCGGTATTCGCATGCTATTTCGCGGTATGCTAAGAAAAGACCAACAGATAACATTACGTCATTGTTCGAAAGTGAACAAACTGCTCCAACACTCATTCACTGAGTCGAAATCAACGGAAGTTCACAACAGGGTACTAGACTAGTATGTCACCACCACGGCGAAGAACCCCATGGGCTAGTCCCTTACTATGGAGTCGAAAGCCAACAACTCCATACGTACAGTTAGCAAGTTCTGTTCTTTTGTGATGTAAACGCGGCCATTTAGCAGACCCTTCCAATAGGACTACAAGAAAGCGTGCGATACGAGTAACGAAACTCGTCAGATATCATTGGTGAGTAACTGTTTCTAAGTGTTACAAGTTTACGGTTGCATCAGCACCTGGGAAACTAGTCAGTTTCCTTTCTGTTCAACGGAGGTGCTATTAACATCGTGTTCAAACAACGGTTTATTTTCGTTACTGCTGGCAACTGTTGTAACATCATTAGTTTCCATCTCGAAATCTCTAGATTATTACTATTAGAATCAGTAAAACACCGCTCCCAATTTCTGGGATTTAATCACTGTGACTAATTTTGTAACGCCCTCTGCTTCCCGTGATATATGCAAAAACATTTTACCGTCTATTAAAATACCACACCCCACCTATCAAACCTTTTCTCTCGGATATTCAGTATCACACGGGTTCGAAGAATCAAATAAACCAGGTCCGGACTTCTTGTTCCAAATCCGCGCAACACTCAAATCCTCATTCGGACCAATTTATCACGGAACGTGTGCCTCTTATTCCTCCGCCGTGCACATCACAAACGCAGACCGTGTCTGATTTGGTCAACGCTTTGGAACTGACTGCCCGTTTAGTGTGCTCCCTATCACCGGGCATTCTGAACCTGAACAAATCGGGGTTCTGTGTGCACGAGTCGATTCATGAGGTGCGTCACCGCTGCTTCTCGACACCTGTGTAATCACCTGGTTTCAGTCAGATTCAATTCAGTTCAGTGGCTTGTTTGTTTCGTCATTTTCGGGACGTTTACTGATTGCATTCTTATGTCAGTGCCATAACGTGTATTAGATAGTATTGCGTTGGATCATGAAGCGAAAGATCGAGGACTATTTCCTTGAGTTTTAGATTCTCAGATATATATTCATTTTATATGCATATGTGCAACCCCTTTGCTCCTTCAAAAACAATTTGGTCTAGGACAGACCAAGCGTAGGTGATTTCGCACTCGAGTATGCTGTTTTTGCACCCTTTGTATACTATAATATGAATTGAGACAAACACTTGAGGGATCTTTGGTGTTCTAAAAGAGGGTTTTTGCAGTATACTCCTGATTTTCAAGTATCACTCGTGAATAAGTGCTTGCATATATTTTCATAAAGTATGATTTATTATTTTGTTGTTTTTTTGTGTTGTTGTTTTTCTCGATGTGTCATTTGTGGCGGTATCTTTACATCGATTTAACCACCAGTTTGTGCTTGTGTTATGCGGTGGTGGATGGATGGGTACCATTTTTCCACCCGCTAAGCTACACTAGACTGCTCGATAATTGGATTCACCCACTCAATTGATCATCGGTCAATTACTTCACGCGAGATGCTGCATGTATTAGCGTTTCCATTGGTACTGTTAGTTGTCGTTTTCTCTTTTAATTTTCGTTTCAGCTTGTTTCACTGTAAAGTTGTAAAACGCAAACTGCCTACATTGATAGCTACACTATTACTCAAATTATCCAGAAAAGCTTGCTACTTACCTGGATCTTCACTTAGCAACACAGTGTCGTCTGCATATTCTAAATTAGACAGTCTGCCACTTGGGAGTAAATCGATACCACTATCCTCGCACGAGGATAGGGCTGTTTCCATAATCACATCTATAACAAAGTTAAATAGAAACGGAGAGAGAAAGAGAACAACCGTGTCGAACACCACTTTCCGTGGTGAACTCGGGTGAAAAAGTGTCGTAAGCTCGGACTCGACTTCGGTTATTAGTATGAAGCGATCGTAATATTGAAATTAACTTCTCGGGCACACCTTTCAGAGAAGGGCAGTGCCAGAGTTTAGAGCGGTCGACTGAGTCGAAAGCCTTCTTCAGATCCAGGAAGACAGAGATGGTGGGTCTACGGGAGAGAATGTCGGTGCTCAAGAATTTGACGAAGTGTTAAGTTGCGGTATGGGGTATGATGCCAGCAAGAAGTTTAGGGACGAAGTTGATTCAGCTAATTCGGTGACTTTCAGACGAGGATTTGTCGCCTTTCTTGTAATTCAGTATGAACTCCGATTCACATTATGCAGTTGGAACCTGTTCTCTAATCTTCACTGAGCCCAGGAGTTTCGTTCACTCCGAAACTGAGGTTGAGTCTCCACCCTAAAAGCGGATGGGGATATCTCGTCTGGGCCGGAGGCTTTATGCCGATTTAGATAACTCATTTCCATTTCAGATGGAGAACTGGAATCAACTGGGAGCTGACAAAGTGTCGAAAATTGGTTCTCGTAGCTCGGGTGAAGTGAATTCCATTTCGCCTGTTCGCCAAGCTTGGCGATTTGTTTGGAAACATTTCATCACCAGCCGAGGTGACATCATCAGTGCTTGTGAAATGGCGGTTTTCTACTCTTACCCGTTCGTTTATATATTTGTTCTTCTCGTTAGACAAGAAACAATCTGTTGTCTGGGCAGAGTTGAAGTAGCTGATCTTCGTTGTCCGTCCGGTTGGCCGAGATTGCGTACGTTCCTCCAAAAAGCCTTTCTAATTCGTTCAGGGATCCCACTTGAGCATTGAAGTCTCCGGCGACTACTACGATGTCCGTTGATCGAGCATTTTGGAGTAGTGGAGAAAGATCCTTGTAGAATTCATCCTTCATTTCAGGTATATTGCAGGCAGTCGGTGGATACACCGATACAAGGAATAAGCACCGACGCTTCGTTCTGTAGCTGTTGACCCGTGCTGAGCCGTTGAGACGTACAGCGCACAATCGGCTACTGACTGGAATCCAGTCAAGAAGCG